GTGAGGCCTTCCATGGGGGGGGGGTCTTCAGAGTCTGTCATATCCTTTGGGATAGGGGCTAGGTCCTCCCCTATGTGTCTAGGCTCAGGGAGTATCCCTCTATGTGAAATGGGATTCCCAAAGTCTGTTCCTATGCTAGGGATAAGTACTGATCTACTACAAGAGCCCCAATATATTTCTGAGGCCTCCTCACTGACACCCACATCACTGAGGTCTGGATCAGTTCCATGATTGTTTCCCAGTGATCAGTCTGGGGACCAAGAGCTCCTCTTGTTCAGGTCAGCTGTTCTTTGAGAAACCCATTTTTAAGAAAATGGAAAAAATCAAAGATGTTGAAAATAGAAAAATGAAATTAAAATACAATTATATTAAATTCCCCTTCTTTCTTCTCTCAATCCCCTTCCATACTTCTGTTTTCTCTTAAATTCATGGATTTTGCCTCTTCCCCTGTGTGTGTGTGTGTGTGTGTGTGTGTGTGTGTGTGTGTGTGTGTGTATTCCAAAATATATAAATGCAATCTATTCAGTCCGTATGTTGTTGCTTGTATGCATATGATTTCATGTATATGTTATAATGACAGAGAAATTTGGTATAAGTCTTTAAGGTTTATTCAATTTCATCTGTGAAGTCACTTGGCCTGATGGTCTGTCTGATGGGGTGTTTTCTTATTTATTCAATTCATACATTATTTATGTTCTGTTAGGCCATTGATAATGTTTTTATAATACCTAGCGAGCAATATTACAGGTAAGGTATTTAGAGTTGTACAGATGGGAATGATTTGAAGTTCAGGTTTTCCAACCTCAGAGAATTTTCTGTTTCAGCTGCTGTGGGACATGTTAAAATGCTTGCTCTTAGGAGCAGAACAAACTGTTGTACATGGCTCTCTTTCTACAAAAAAAAAATGAGAGAGAGACAGAGACAGAGATTATACAGTGGCTAACTTGGGGCATAGGTTTAATTTTCTCTTTCTTTAGGCATATTACTCTGTGCCTTTTACTGAGCTAACTGAAATTCTCCTAATATTAAGTAGAAGTTATATGGTGAAACTCTTCAATGACTCTCTATGCTATGAAGTATCTTTGTCACTTGGGCCATTTGATCCAGAAGATGTAATATTTCATGGTTATTAAAGGTGCTTTTGAAGTAGTGAGTCACTGCATGTGAATTTTAGTGTGGATCCTTGGATTTTTGGAAGAAAGTTCTGCCAGGTGTTAAGATGAATTAATTTGTTTCACCAAACAGATTTTGACCTGAGACTAGACTTGGGTCATTTAAAATAATTTCTGTTTGTTGTATAATTTGTTTTCATGAATTTTAAAATTATCATTAAACATGTCATTAATCTTATATTTAACATCTGTTTTTTTAAACAATTATGATAGTGTTTGAAATATCCTACTCCATGAGGACTTCCAAGAAATTATTCTGTCTAAAAGTGAGAAGTTTGAGAAATGTGTATCAAAAGAAATGGAAAAATACTTCAAGGAAAGTAAAGCAGAAAATTCTATGTGTTTCTGAAAATGTTCTGCATGTTCATGTGGATGCATCTCATACAAGATTTACAAAAATTCAAAGATCCCCATGGTGCCGTTGAGCTCAATTCTATATAACCAAACTCTCATGTTAAAATAATCACTTTAGAAGCTTAGTATTACTATTACTCAATTAAAATATCTCTGAAATCTCCAATGACAAGGACATCAAATCAGATATCTATGGCCATGCTTTGTAAAAGAGTTAGAGTCACTTCTGTGGTTCAATTTGAAGTTTAATTAGAGAAGATAGAAAAGGCAATAGTAAGCAAATGAATTAAATGTTAATATGGTCTTGGAAGAAGATAGATCCTGTGAGAGGATAGTTTATGTGGTGAATGAAGGACTAGTGTATAAATGGGCTGAGGAAAAAAAAAGACTAAATTTGTAGAAGAAATAAGAAATATTGGGCTTAAATTTAAATTCTGAAACTAATATCAAGCGACAATTCTTTTTAAAAACATTTTATACAACAGTTTTATCTATGCATATACTGAATTTTAGTTTTTCTCACTCTTTGTTACCCTTCTTCTCCCAATGAAATCCTTCTTCTCAACAAGTTTCCATGCTACTTTCATATCTTTTATGTGTGACTCACTGTGTTAAAATAAGGTTGCTTATATGAGTATTAGTAGGAGGTTACTTACTGAAATATGAGCAACTTATGATAGAAAAATGTGATACTCTATCCACTATCAACAATCAATAGTCCTTAGAGATGGGTGGGGCCCTTGGGCCTTTCACCTTTCCAGGATGAAATATTGAGGGCCGAAATCTTATGCAGACCTTGTGTAGGTAACAACTGTAGTGAATTCATGGGTACAGCAGCTGTGTCAAGTCCAGAAGACACTGTTTCAGAGATGTTCTCTCAACCTCTGGCCCTTAAGAGCCTTCCTGACCACAATGTTCCAGGATCCTTGTGGGGTGGGGAGGATGATATACATTGCCTGTTTTAGGATAAGCAGTCAGTCTACAGATGACAGTTAAGAAAGCCCTGTATAGACTTACAAGAAATTTTGCCATCACTTCACTTAATTTTAGAAGCCAAAATTACCCACTATGCTTTCTGTGATTGCTGGAAACCATGAATGATGGTGGGTTAATTAAGGCACAGTTCAAAGACCTGATAAAGGGGAAAGGGAGTAGAGACCAATTGCTTGAGATCCAATAGCCCCAGTATCTAGATGTGACAGAATATAGATGTCTCTCTCAAAGAAAGGAAGATGGGGAGAGGAAGGGGAGTGGAAGAAAGGAAGGAAGGAAGAAAGAGAGAGAGGGAGAGAGGGAGGGATGGAGGGAGGGAGGAAAGGGGGCAGTTTCTACTTCATTCTGTCTAGGTGAGCCCTCTCAGGTAGGATACTGGGCACCTGCATTGACCAGCATATTCTTCTTTGCTGAGCCACGGCTTTCAGAAATGTTGTTATAAGCTCTCAGAAAGATATAGGTTGGGACGTTTGGGTTATTGATTTTTTTCCATTGGCTTTTCTTTTGCTCTGCTTTTTGTTTTGAGACTTACTATGTAACTTAAATTAGACTCAAGCAATTAATCCATGCATATCACACTCTTCATTGCTGAGAATCCATGGGTTTGCCAACATATTTGACAAAAATAGTTTCATTACTAAAGTATTACTTAATACAGTCAAACTAAAACTATAAAACTTCTACATAAATACAAAGTATATTTCTTCCTGAAAAATTGGCCACATATGTGTCTATGTGTCCTCCCACATAAGGGACTTTTCATGTACTCCAGTGCATAGTCTGTATTGTGTTCTTTGTACAAACATTTTCACTGACACAGGTAGAAATGAGTTGATGAAAGATGAGATAATTGATCAATATCTTTTGTATTTGATAAGAAAACCCCAGCCCAATTAGATTCCCACTCAGATATTACAACTCTAAATATCTCTGTTTCCCTGTAAGGTATCACTTTAGGAAATTGACTTCAGAGTTAGTTTTTTTTTTTTTTTTTTTTTTTTTTTTTTTTTTTTTTTTTAATCGAGGGCATAGCAAAGAAACCACCATAATCACTGCTCCATGATCTAGGGATGGTTTTTATTGTAAATAAGAGAGAACAACCAGAGGCACCTGAAAGAGTCCCAAGAAAAGAGAATAAGAAACAGACTAGAAATGGCCAAGGCTATCTTCAAGACAAGCAAGAATAATAACAAAAGAGAAAATGGCAACAATAGTGGAACAAGAGAATACCTCATATAGAGAACAAAATTGGAATCTAGAGGAGGGAAACCTGCTACCCACAACAACTGGGAAGCTATTATGGTGGAGGAGAAGAAGATGTGAGAACGGCCAGGACTCTAGACTGAATTTTGAAATGTGTAACAAGTATGTGTGAGTAGGAACTGAAGAAGTCTGAAAGCCAGCATGAACTTTTATATACAAGTGCACGTATAGCCAAAGGAAGTGGCCCTCTTGAGTAAGCAGAATCCAATTCTTTTGCAGGCTCTTGGGAAATGCTGTCCTTGGGTTTTTATCTGTCTTCCAGAAATCCTGTTGTAATCCAGCTTGAGCTGAGCCTACACTGTCATTTCTGGACTTATGCACTAACCCTTGGAGTTTGAGAAATTGGAATTTTCTTTCAACCTGAGAGCTTTCAAATGTTATTCAAGATTAGCAAGTTGTCTTAGTGAGTAAAGGTTGTGGCATGAATTCTAGTGGGTATTAATAATAAAAACCCAGAGACAGACATGGGGGTTAAAGCTAAAGATCAGAGAAGCAAAGCATCCAGTCACTAGTGAGCTCTTGCCTCTACCTCAGACTGAAAGGGTGATTCTGTGTCCATAAATCCTCTGATTGAATGTGATCTGAATATATCTGTCTCCACCAAGCCCCAGACTTCCTAGACTTTTCCTGTCTCCTCCTGCCAGATGTTCCTCTCTAGTGCTCAGATTAAAGGTGTGTCATCCCAAGTGCTGGTGTGAGCTCTGTTTCTCTTTTAGATTGATTCACTCTCATCCCAGAGTGACATTGAACTCACAGAGATTCATCTGCTTCTGTTTCCTGAGTACTGGGATTAAAGGTGTGTACTACTACTACCTGACTACTCTGGCTGTGGCTAGCCTTGCACTCTGATCTTCAGGCAAGCTTTATTAGATCATAAACAAAATATCACCACAAAACATGTTTTCCAAAGCTGAGAGCCTGAGTAGAGCCTGCATGATAGAAAGAAATATAATTGCCTTCTACAAGCTGTCTTTTGACCTACAAATCAGTTCCATGGAGTAACACACACACACACACACACACACACACACACACACACACACACACACACACACACACACACACACACAATGGTTGGATGGGTGGATAGACAGACAGACAGACAGATAGTAATCAGATAAATAGATAACAAATTAAATGTGATTCCATGAAAAATATGTGAGTGAAATGAATTCAGGTATTGCACATCTCAAAAGTGTAAAATCAATATTGTAAATATCATTTTGTCCCAAAAACAATCTTTCTGAATGCACTCTTGACTTCCTTGTTCCTCAGGCTGTAGACCAGAGGGTTCAACATGGGGATGACCATGGTATAGAACACAGACACAGTTTTGTCAGTGTCCATGGCATGACTTGAGCTAGGCTGCATGTACATAAAAATTACAGTCCCATAGAAAATGAAAACAGCAGTAAAATGGGACGCACAGGTGGAAATGGCCTTCTGATGTCCTGCAGTTGAGTGCATCTTTAGGACTGTGATAAAAATCATTAGATAGGATATTAAGATGACTATGAGAGCAAAAAAGATATTGAAACTGGCTACACAAACAAGAATCAATTCATTCACATGTTTATCAGAGCAAGAAAGTACCATGACTGCTGGAATATCACAGAAAAAATGATGGACCACATCAGATTCACAGAAGGAAAGACTGAATGTGTCCCCAGTGTAGATACAGGCATTCAGGAAGCCACAGGCATAGCAGCCTGCAATCATCCATGCACACATAGCTGTAGTCATGGTTGTGGCATAGTGTAGGGGCTTACACACTGCTGCATAGCGATCATAGGCCATTGAGGCCAACAGGTAATTTTCCACAGTAGCAAAGCCTGTAACAAAAAACATCTGTGTAGCGCACTCATTGTATGACATGGCTTTGTCTCCTACGAGAAACCAAGCCATGACTTTTGGAGTGACACCTGAAGAGTAACAGAAGTCTACCAGTGATAGATTACCAAGGAAAATATACATGGGAGTGTGGAGCCGAGAGTCCAAGACAATCAGCAGGATCATCCCCAGGTTTCCCATCAGGGTGACAGTGTAGATAAGGAGGAAGATGATAAAGAGGGGAAGTGCCAGGGCTTGGTCATCAGTGAGTCCCAGCAGAATGAACCATGTCATTTCTGTCCTGTTCTCCATTAGTGTTACCAGAGAATCAAAGGAGGCTCTGCATCAAAACGACAAAAGTTACAAAAAGATTAAAAAGTTGAATTGAACGTCACATTATCACATAATATGTACTTTGATATTTTCTAGATATTTCTTAAGATTGTGAATTATGTATAGGGTTACAAACTATTGAATCTATGAAATCTTTACCAATGCTCTGCCCAATTTTAATTTTATAGATTGTTAGCTAAAATGTAAACAGTTTAATAATCTAATCAAAATGATTTTCTGGATGAATCTATTTCCTAATTCATTCTCCTTAGTTCAGTCAAACATGTGTTTCTCATCTGCCAAGAACTGCCAAAAAAAGAACCATTAGAATACGTTCATGGTTTCCCCTCAAGAGAATTTTGTGTTTGATTGCCTGTTCTAATCTTATAAATTATGAAGCACAAAAGGTTGAGTCATTTATTCATATTTACACAAGCCTAATTTGGTTATTTCTGTCCAGAATTTGAGCCAATCTTTAACCTATTCTGGGTGACTTCTAATTCCAATAGTCTAACATATATTGAGCTGAATTTATGCCAATGTACAAATTCCACTTTGGTTCATAATGAACTGAGTGATTTCACAGGTAGCCATTTTATCTTATCCGCTAAGTATTTGCATTTCATTATTAGAACAAGAAACAAACCTGGAAATGAAGCTACAAAAGTGCCATTAATAAATTAAGAAGCCATGAATTACACTTTATCTCTTCAATACACACTCATTTTATGCATCTTATTAGGACACACTGACAATGTTGTAAGTTAAAGCATAAACGTTTGACTAGACTAAAGATAATACAAGGTGAACTCTGAAATTATCCTCATACATCTCTGTGTATATTAGATGTGGTGGGATAACTGACATGACAGAAATGTTTTACCTCAGAGAGATTCTTACTGAAGATCTGTCATCAGATATAGACATAGAACTCACATTCCTGGAAAAGGTGCATATAAGATCCAACATTTACCACATAGTAGTTTACTGATCCTGAAAAAATTCCCTGAGTATCTTATTTTCATCTGCAAAATGAAGACAGTAATGATATGTGCTTGGAGATGTTACCCTGAGAATTTAAAGAGATAATATGTAAAAGGCAATAGATGTGTGCTCAGCACAGCCAGTTTGTTTATCATGTTACTGTTATGCTCTCATAGTGTTGTGGATATTGGTTTGCTGACACACCAGATTTTGGTTGCCATTTTAAAATTTCACTCTCCAGTCTGGAAGGACTCAATTTTTCCTATGCTGTATTAGATCCACTGGGATTTTTCTAAGCTTTACAATGTTGTCAGTCTGGCCTTAGTCCACAAATGTGATTGGTATTATCATAATTCTAGCTGAGCCTGTATTTTACTTTTGATGTGAAGAAGTAACTTTTTTTTCATTTATTTTTTTTTACTTTTTTATTTCATTTTACATTCAAACCACCGTAATCTGTCCCATCCCTCCTCTAGATCAACAACTGTGGAGACTCCAGGGGACGAACTAGGCCCTCCGTATGTGGGAGACAATTATGAAGAATTAACTTTTTTGTTTGTTTTTCGAGACAGGGTTTCTCTGTGGCTTTGGAGGCTGTCCTGGAACTAGCTCTTGCAGACCAGGCTGGTCTCGAAGTCACAGAGATCCATCTGCCTCTGCCTCCTGAGTACTAGGATTAAAGGCGTGCACCACCAATGCCCAGCAAGAATTAACTTTTAATTGTCATTCCATATCTTATAAATGACATATGGTTGCCAAACCAGAGCCCATAAGCTGAAGTATTCCTGAATTATGGGATGTCTTTAGCACACAGATTTATTTTGATGTTAAGTTCCATCCTGGATGCTATTGTATCTGAGTCTCTTCTCATGTAGTAATACCATGTTAAATTTCTTGGTTATAACTGAAGCTTTTGAAGAATAGCCATCCAATTCTAATTACTATTCCTGACCTTTCACTCTCAGGATGTCAATTTATAAGCCTGATTTGAACACTGTCTTCTACCTTTAACAAATACAACATCAAATTAGAAGATACTTAGCTCTACAATCAATAATAAAGATTTTATATGTAACTATATCTGTATGTATCTGTGTCTCTATGTCTTGGGGGGGCACAAGGAGCATTTTTATTCTTCACTGTTAAGAAGTTGGCATTTGAAATGTATAAATATCCTAAAAATTATATATCCAATTTTTAAAAGAAGGTCAAGATTTGAAAGATAAAGGCATTTTTGATATAATTAAAACTATAATTTTTATCCATACCCCTGTCAAAATGGATAGGTGTATTAGAGTTAATTAGTATGAGATCATGGGGTAAAGGTTAACCTATAGTTCAAAACTGCTTAATTCATTAAGGACTCTTGTCATGAAGAAAGCATTCTTTCACTTTGAGGATTAGATGTTATCTTTGCTTGTTGCCTTCCTCCAATAAGAAGCAAATACATATGTAACAATATGATAGTTTAGCCTAATCATCTAGGATATCATATGTTTTGGTTTTATTCATCCTTACTGGGAAATAAACATGTGCCATAAAACTTTTTACATTACTCATGATGAAATTTTTCATTTACCTTAGATTTCTGAAGACATGTTGAAATCATCTAAATTTGTTTTAGAATAATTCACAGTGAATGCAGTTGCCTTGCTGGTTTTGCATATAAAAATCATGAGGATTTCATGGAGAATAGAAGCTTACCATTTTCCAGGAGAGAACAGCCAATCTAGAATAGCATTTCTGAAATCACCAGATCGGGCATGGAATACTGTATAAGTGCTATGAAAGAAGTCCCCTCTCAGGAAGTGGTCAAAAAGTCCCACATACTCTACTGCAATGGATGAAGAAGGGAAGAGCATTTGCATAGATTAAAGTCCAAGCCTCCATTAATTCTTGGCTCTCTGGAAGAGACTCCCACTTCCTCCTAATAAGCTTCATAAACACAATAAAATTGCATTGCTTATGTTGTTCACAAACTATGCCTGTACAAAATTTCCCATGAAGAGGTTATTACTTAAAAGTTAATCAATGCGAATTTATCTTTGTTTTCCTAGATCTTAGTTGAAGACTCTTAGAAAATCCTCAGGTCAAGGAAGCCTGTAGATGCTAAGATCTTATTGTCATTCAGATCAATAACTAGTGGCCAATGAAACATAGCATACAGTGTGTTCCTCCTAAATAACATAACTTGGAGTTACATTACACTGAAAGGTCAATACAAGGAGATCTGGGTGGGGGAAAATCCTAGAGTCTTGAGACCTCTAGAGAGTGATGCTGTGAGATTATATAAACTTCCTAATCCTGCAGGATAGAAGCAATTAAACTGTCTGTGGAGATTCAGCTGGTTATTTTTATTGTGCACACTTTATTAACTTTCTTTTCTTCTAATTGATGTATAATTTACATAGAGAAATATCTCACTTTCTAATGTGTAACTCTAGGGAATCTCATCCAAATAATAGTCAGGTAACATATCCAGAGTCATCTGAGTCAATTATTCGAGCTTCTCCTTGATGACTTTCCATCCTGCTTCCCTGATAACTGACTTTATCCAAATAAATTTTTCATGCCATCATTACAGTACCCTTACAAGAACAACCATGATTGAATACTGTGGGAAAACTGTGCACCAAAAAAATTATAAGACTAATAATAAAAAATACAAACTTGAGGCAATGTTCACATTACCAAATTTGACTCCAGTGAGAAAACAATTTCAATATTACCTAAGACAATTGTATATTAAATTAATAATAAACATTTCCATGGATAAAAGCCCAGGAACAGATGGCTGCATTTGTAAATTCACTAAAACTAATACATAATATTTATGTATGTTTATTACATAGAAGAAACCAAGTGAGAGTTTGCTATAGCTTCTCTAACAAATTATTATTACAATGATACATTTTTTAATCTGCTATGTATAAAATCCATAAATGAAAATCTCAAGTTTTACAGAGCACAATTCTATGAAAAATCAAAACTGTCTCCTTGTGTGCTCTATGGGACACTGTTTCATGATACTTCAGTCCTAGAGGTTGGTGACATTCCATGGCTGGTGGTCACATTATTCCATGTTGTTTCTTGGTCTCAGTATCAACTCCACTTTCATATGTGGCCTATTATTTCTAACTACACTTTATAAGAATTTGTGTAATCTTCTTTAGAATATACACACATAGTCTTGGAAATTTCTCAGTCTCTTAAAAATTAAAAATAGACCCCAGATCTCTCTGGGCCTACGGCTGCTTACAGTAGACCCACCCAGACAGGGAGGATCTCCCTGAGTCTGGAAACACCTCACTCTTCCTTCCCCCTCTGCCACCAGCCCAATCCCTACCTAGTGAGGAGACTACCAGGAGAGGCAAGACCATCCAGAGCTGCAGACATTGAAGTCTTGGCCCACAAACACCACCAGGTGACAAGAGGAGATAGAGAAACCCAACATGCACCCACTGGAAGAATAGATGGGAAGAAGACAGAATAAAAACACACTCAACAACAGAAAGACCCATATGACACCACCAGAATCTAGGGACTCAACACCAGCAAGATCTGAAAAGCCCAACACAGAGGATGAAGAAGAGATGGACCTAAAAAAGTATCTTAGGAAGATAATAGAGACCTTTAAAGAGGAAACAAGAAAATCCCTTAAAGAAATAGAAGAAAAAAACAAGCAAAGAATTATATGAAATGGAGGAAAAGACAAACCAAAGAATTCAGGGAATAAACAAATATCTTAAAGAATCTAAAGAAATCCAAGAAAAAACAACCAAAAAAGTGAAGGAAGCACTTGAAACAGTTCAAGGAATGAAAGCTGAAATAGAAACAATAAAGAAAACACAGAATGAGGGGATTCTGGAAATAGAAAGGCTGGATAAATGATCAGGAACTAAAGATGTGAGTATAACCAATGGAATTCAAGAGATGGAAGAGAGAATCTCAGTTGTTGAAGACTCGCTTGAGGATATACCAAAGAAAATCTAAAGTCC